GAGCTTAGACTGCAGTTCCCCAGAGAAAAGGTGATCTGTGTCAATAATAGCTAACATTTTAATAAACATTTTTGTTACATGAGCAATGAGTAGCCCCAGGTTTTGGAGTTTACCAGCTCTTAAAATCCAGATTCTTCCACTTATTAGCTGAGTGCTGTTAGACAAGTTACTTGACCTTTCTAATCTCTGGGGAATAAGAAAAGGGGGATAATAATATCTTCCTCCTGGGGTTGTTGTAAATGAGTCACCCAGTGCTCGCCATACAATGAACGCCATTTCCCATGGGATAGGTTTGTGATCAGGAGAAGGGGGAGGAGCAGCTGTGAAGAGGTCTTAGCTCATCTGGCAGCTCACTCCCTTCTATAGCCAGTTCCCCTCCCTACCCATTCTCTCCTTTCCACCACTGCTGTTCCCTGGCCTGCTCCTTACACTGGCATGAGGTAAGGAGAAAAAAACCCCTGCAGTCAGTGAAACATTGTCCACATTTTATAAAGATCTCTCTTCCACCTTGGTTAGGCACTGTGCTCATTCAATCCTCACAGTGACCCCCAGCTAGTAGCTGGAGGAACTAACGGGGTTCCAAGGATCCAGGACAGTCCAACTCCAAATCTATCCTTTTTCACCTGGATGCACTGTTGATTGGGATTCCTAATCTGTGTTTTAAGCCTGGTTACTTTTTCCAAGGTTATTTTAATCTAGTGAAAGGAGAGATTGTTGAATTGCAAAGTAAATTGGGTTCTAGATCTCCCTTTTTTTTTTTTTTTTAATCTGTCAAATCTAAATATTTGCCCCATTCTATTCTCTGTAAAACTGTTCTGTTGAAAGCTTTGTGCAACGTATTGGGGTTGTGGGGAGAAGGGTTCTTGATTTTCCATGATGAAGGAGAGGAATCTTTTGAGTTAATATTTATATACATATTTGCTAAACCACTAAGGCTTTCTCATTTTTGCACCATTTCATCCTGAAAAGAGTTAAGTTCGAAGTCAGGTATTCTTTAATATGTAAAACCAAACCTTGACTGATGAGCCCTGGGTGCGCTATGGCTGCAAGGAGCCTAAGGGTAAGGAAAGTCCTTAAACCCATTGCTGTGGCATGGATTCCAACCCATGGTGATTCCATATGTCACAGAGTAGAACTGCTCCATAGGGTTTTCTTGGCTGCAATCTTCATAGGAGATCACCAGGCCCTTCTTCCGTAGCACCGCTGGGTAAGTTTGAACCACCAAGCTTTAGGTTAGTCATTGAACACGAACCATTTGTGCCACCTAAGGACACTGGAAAGTCATTGTTGTTGTTGTTGTTGTTATGTGCCCTCGAGTCGGCCCCGACTCATAGCGACCCCTCCTTGGGTTTCCGAGGCAGTATCACTACGGAAGTAGGATTGCCCAACCTTCCTTCCGAGGAGTGGCTGGTAGGTTTGAACTGCCAGCCTTCTGGTTAGCAGTCAAGTGCTTTAGCCACTATGCTACCAGAGCTCCCATTAGGAGGAAAATAAGGCCACAGTTTTGTTTTTAAATGACACAGGAGGCCAAAGTTATTTATGTTGATGTGCCTGGTATAGTGGAAGGAGCCAGAGGTTCTAACCTGGTTCTGCAGGTAACTTGCTCTGTGACTTTAACCAGGATACTTAAAACTCCATTTTCTCTTTTTGCAAATGGACAGTCCAATCTGCAATATGTACACACCAAAAAGTCTGGACAATCTTATTTCCTTGATTATTGAAATCTTTAGAATTGAAGGGAGGGGTAAAAGTAGGATGTTTGTTAGACCTGTTGAATTGCAAGTCTGATGGGGAGAAGGAAAAAAAACAACTGGGAGGAATTTAATGAAGCAGTTGTGCAAAATGAAAGACAATGAGATAGTTAAACAATAAGACTTAAACAGTGGTTACAAAGTGTACTTGCAACTAGAGGTGTCTAGAACTCTTAGCCTAATTTTTCAACCTTTATACAGTATTTTCAAGAGGTTCAGTTATGTTTCATTTCCTTGTTTCATTTTCAGAGGTTAGACAGTAGAAAGAAAAGGGGAAACCAGAAATACAATGGATTTTTATAACAAATAGTTTTTAAGTAATATCCAAAGGGCACAGGCAATCTTGTCTTGCTGGTACATTTCTATCTCTGAAAATAAGCTTTTATAAAAATAGCTTAATGAGAATTGAGAAAACCCTTTTCAATTGTGCTTTTTGTCATTTCAGAATCCAGGTTTCAGATCTGTTTAACTCAGGCATTTGAAAAAACAAAACAAAACAAAACAAGTATGTGTATATATATATATATATATAATGTATGTATCTGTTTTCTACAGAAATCAAGTTAGACACTTGAAGATTCAAAATACTGTCTTTGCTTTCTCTTCTCCATCACTTTTAATACCCTACATTCATATTACATTCCTCACCCAGTGCTGAACCACTGAAAAACTGGGGAAAGTGGGAACTGTAGGCTAAGGTCTTCATTGCAATCTACACTAGCAGTCAAATCACTAGAAAGCATATTCTTTTTTGTGTGTGAAATGCTATGTTAATAATGGCTCAAACTGTGATATAGCACCTCTGTAGCTTTAAGCCAGCTTGGGTTACAGAGTTTGGGTAATCTTTTTAATGCCAGAATGAGTAGACCTGACTCTGTGGAGAAAGAACCAATAAAGTGGTAGTCTGGGCTTTCCTGAAGACTTCTCAGGAGCCACTCCCTAATCCTGGGGCAGAGGAACTGTCACATCAAATATAAGGCATGCCCGTAGCAGCCTAGGCCGAGCCACCACACACAACTATTTGCTGATGTCAGGCCAAACTTAAAATACCTCAAAACACAGCTGTAGCCCAGACTGGCACAGGGTAGGAGAGTAATACCTTTGCCTTTGAGGAGGGCTACAACAGAGCACAACCAATATGGGTGAACAGGTCAGTTGAAGAGTGTTGATGATAAACATTCCAGGAATTGGATATATTTTGCCATAGCTAAGAAATATTTTTTAAAATTTAAAAACAAAGATGATAAAGGGAGATTAGAAGACAACATTTGGAGATTCAGAACGAGAGTGCTAGATAATGGGTTTTAGGGCTGGTGAGTGGTTTTTATGAGTTCTATTCCAGGACCAGCCTTAAATACAAGAATGCAGAAGCACATGTACTGGACAGTCTACCCAAACCACACAGACATCTGGTGATTCCTGGCAGGAGCATGGCTGCTTTTAAGACACTCAAATCAAGTTCAACAGGACTCCACAAAGGTCTTTGCTGTTGTTATGTGCCATCGAGTCGGACCCAACTCATAGCGACCCCTCCTTGGGTTTCTGAGGCAGTGTCACTATGGAAGTAGATTGCCCAGCCTTCCTTCCAAGGACTGGCTGGTGGGTTTGAACCGCCAGCCTTCTGGTTATCAGTGAAGAGCCTTAGGCACTATGCTCTGTGCCTTAGGCACAGAGCTCCTAAAGAGATGGCCCGGATACCTGGAGGAGCAGCTGGTAGGTTTGAACCGCCAGCCTTGGGTGTGGCAGGTGACTACATGAGACCATCCCCTAGGGCCCTTTGCTGTTGGAATATTCAATATTTTGCACACATTAAGCATATAGAACCATCTTCCCTTTATACTTTCCAGCTCTAAAGAAAATGGAAAGACCTCTACTGTTTCTTTAGTCTGACTTTTCATGGATTTAAGGGTAATTGTTTGACTTGATATTTAAGAGAGTAATAGGTACAGGAAGGCATTTTTAACTTCTTTGCTTTATGTTCCCACATCTAATAATTCTTTATAACAGATCTAAATCTTTTTTTATTATTATTTTTACTTTTTATCAGTAGCTTCAATTCCTTTTATTACTTTGAGTTTCTGAAAACTTGAGTTTTGAAGATCAAATGACTGTAGGTAAGAACGTTTTGGGTTTTATATTTTAGTTTTAAGAGATTTAAAGTTAGAAGCATAACTTGCTTATTCGTGGAATTATTCTTGTTCATCTCCTGTTGTATCTGCTTGTTACAGTGCCACCTTCTGCTGAACTTTCTTTTGATACCCATTGGTCACTGTTTATTTGAGATAAACATCTTGGATATACAATTGAGCTAAACAGGAAAACTTTTGAGCGAAATAGAATGAGATTTTAGCTAATGTTAACAAAGTGCTAGCTCCTCACCACCTTTTATCATTTAAAAAAACTAAATTTCAGACTACCTCTAAATATTCAGAAAATATTTAAGGAACTCTTTGCATGTATGTGTTTTGGACATGGCACAAAATATTGCTATAAATTCAGGTTTGTGTAAGTAATTTGCAATTCAGAGTTTAATACAAAAATTTTGCATATAGGCTTTTTGGGGGGGATGTAGAGATAAAGGGGATCCTCAGAAAAATCAGGCTGTGGTATTTATTGGATGCAGAGTTGACAACACTGAAGTAGGCAAATTGCACTAACCTAAACCCTGACTCACAGGGACCCCTCCTTGGGTTTCCGAGGCAATCTCTACAGAAGTAGATTGCCCAATCTTCCTTCGGGAGGAGTGGCTGCTGGGTTTGAACCCTGTCTTCTGATTAGCAGTCAAATGCCTTGGGCACTCTGCCGCCAGAGCTAAAACTGCCAAAAATAACTTGTCAAGTGTTTTGGGTTTTTTTTTCTTTTGACTTTCTAGTTCTGATAAAACTCTTTAAAAAAAAAAAGCCTACCTTTTTGATAAGGCTGAAAATTTATGTCAAAAATTTTCTCCTAATAGTTCTAATTCTGTTTAAATGAATTATGGCTCCTGGAAGTCCGACACAATTTCCAATACCCATCACGATTTGTAAACTGGTTTGGATCATCTTGGTTAAAACTTAAGTTTGACTTTGAGATAAACCAATCATAACTTGATTTTGACCTTCATCCAAAGTTAATTAACGACAACATAACTCCATACTATTAACTGTGCCCAAATCACTTGGGTATGCTTTGGAGCCGGAATAAACACACAATCTAAAATGAACCTTCTGTCTCACTCTCTGAAGATGTCGCTTTTCTGTCTTCCCCCAGGGACCCTCTGAAAATACAGCAACTCCAGAACCAAATACGCCTGGAACAGGAGGCCAGCGCCCCGCGGAGCGCGCCGCCCTCGCCGCCCTTCCCGCCGCCGCCCGCCTTCCCCGAGCTCGCGGCCTGCGCGTCGCCTGCCTCCCCGGAGCCCATGAGCACGCTCGCCTCCCGCTCTGCCCCCGCCATGCAGTCCTCCGGCTCTTTCAACTATGCGCGCCCCAAGCAGTTCATCGCCGCGCAGAACCTAGGCCCCGCGTCCGGCCACGGCACGCCGGCCTCCAGTCCCAGCTCCTCCAGCCTTCCGTCTCCCATGTCCCCGACGTTGAAGCAGTTCGGCCGCGCACCGGTGCCGCCCTTCGCGCAGCCCTTAGGCGCCGAAGCCGAGGCTCCGTGGGGCCCGTCCTCGCCGTCTCCCCCGCTGCCGCCGCCGCCGCCCCCGGTCTTCAGCCCCACGACGGCCTTCCCGGTGCCCGACGTGTTCCCGCTGCCATCACCGCCACCTCCGCTGACAAGCCTGGGCTCCCACTGCTCCTCACCCGCCACCCGCTATGGCCATAGCCAGACGCCCGCCGTCTTCCTCAGCTCCTTGCTGCCCTCGCAACCGCAGCCACAGCCCGTCGCAGTCAACGCCTTGGGGCTGCCCAAGGGCGTCACCCCCGCGTGAGTGACAGCGCACGCCTCTGCCTACAATGGGGCAATACAGCTCCCACACACCACCTATAAACGTGCGCCCTGCGCCATACGCTTACACGTTTCCCTCTGTCCAGTTTCTGAGTTTTATCCGAGCAAGTTTACCAGGCTATTCTTCCATAATTACCTTATCATTATTAAGATAAAAACTTTTTCTCCTAATTAAAAAATTAAGATCAGGAGCTATGCAAAATGTGCACAATGCTCTTGATAATTATGACAATGATAGTGGCATTAGCTACCGTTTTTACATTTATTATTTTATAACATTCCTAAGAGTTATCATTGTCTCACTGGCAACTGAGGAGCATTCCAGTCAAATAATTCGCCCAAGGTCACACAGCCACTAAATTGGGATTTGAATCCATGTCTAACTCCAAAACCCATGCCTTTGCCACCAGAACATATTACTTAAGATTCATAAATAGTAATTCTAACAGAATTGTAGTGGCTTTTTTATTAAGCCACTTTGTTTTACTCACTCCCCCCCCCCAAAAAAAAAAAAAAAAACCTCACTGCCATCTAGCTGGTCTTGACTCACAGCGACCGCCTCCTTGGGTTTTGGGTTTCTGAGGCTGTTTCTCTGCGGAAGTAGATTGCCCAGTCGTCCTTTCGAGGAATGGCTGGTGGGTTTGAACAGCCAGCCTCATAGTTAGCAGTCAAATGCCTTCTTAGGCACTAAGCCACCAGAACTCCTTGGTTATACTTAGTGTTTTTGAAATGCCCAAATTAACAGAATTAAGAAATAAGCCTTTGGATCTAGTGATAGATCAGAACAGGGAAAAAACATGTAAATGTCTATTGTTGATGCAAATATATGAGGGTATGTGCAATCAAGCAGAAGACATGATCATGCCAGTCCTGTTCCTGGCCAACAGTGATTCTAAGAGGATTACATGGCTTCTCTGTGTCAGTTTTCTATTTGCAGGTTATCTAATTTGCAGGTTATCTTATCCCTCCTTACATCACTATGAAATCTTTAAAATAGAAAAATTATGAGGATAAGGAGCTCTGGTGGTGCAGTGGATAAGGCATTTGGCTGCAAATCAGGTCCATGGTTCAAACCCACCAGCTGCTCTGTGTAGAGATTTACAGTCTTGGTAAACCCAGTGGGAGTTATTATGGGGATGGATAAATAAGATGAGATGTACAAAAATGCAGTAAAACCTTCCAAAGAAACGTATCATACCAGTGTTTGGAAAGTTTTATTAAAGAGTTAAAACAAATAAAAACTAGCACTAACCCATTTTACTGAAGTGTTCAAAAATGAGTTAAGTATTAGCAGAGGTCAAGCCAGTTGCCATATCTCAACAATTCTTGTTGAAATTCTGCTTCATAGTTTGCCAGAAGCCAAAAATTGGAGAAAAGAAAGGAACTTTAGAAAAGAATGAAAATGAGAAGACCTTAGAATTCAGGTTATTTGTGCTCATATGTAAAAATTTTCCTTTCCTGTTATTAGGTGCCCTGCAGTCAGGTCCAACTCATAGCCACCCTATGTACAACAGACCAAAACACTGCCCGGTCCTGTGCAAGCCTCACAATCCTTGCTGTACCTGAGCCCATCATTCCAGCCACTGTGTCAATCCATCTCATTGAGAGTCTTTCCTTTTTGGCTGATTCTCCACCAAGCAGATATCCTTCTCAGTGGAATGGTCCCTTCCTGTTGTTGTTGTTGTTAGGTGCAGTGGAGTCGGCCCCAACTCATAACAACCCTGTGTACAACAGAATAAAACACTGACTGGTCCTGCGCCAGGCTCACAGTCCTTGCCATACCTGAGCCCATCATTGTACACACTGTGTCAGTCCATCTTATTGAGGGCCTTCGCCATTTTCTCTGACCCTCCTCCTTACCAAGCGTATCTTTCTCCAGGGAATGGTCGCTTCTAACCACATGGTCCCTTACTGGGATATACTAATACCACCTCAAAGATCAGTATTGCTATGTCTAGCTTTGACAAAAGCAAACCATCAGTTAGTAGTTTCTTGTTTTGGCAAGCACTTCCTAAGTTTCGATTATATATATATTCTAAGTGCTTAATATGCATCTTCAGCCAAATCAAGGCCTGGAGCTGATTGTGGAATAGACCATCCACTGCTCATATGCAAGTTCAAGTTAAAGTTGAAGACAATTAAAATAAGTCCACAAGAGCCAAAATATTCCTTCTGAATTTAGACGCCATCTAAAGAAGAGATTTGATGCATTGAACACCAGTGACCAAAAACCAGAGGAATTATGAGATGACATCAAGAATATCATCCATGAAGAAAGCAAAAGGTCATCAAAAAGACAGGAAGGGAAGATAAGACCAAAATGGATGTCAGAAGAGACTCTGAAACTTGCCCTTGAACAGAAAGTAACTAAAGCAAATGGAAGAATAGACAAGATAAAAGAGCTAAACAGAAAATTTCAAAAAGCAGCTTGACAAGACAAAGTCAATAATTATAATGAAATGTGCAGACCTGGAGTTAGAAAACCAAAAGGGAAGAACACACTTGGCATCTTTCAAGCTGAAAGAACTGAGGAAAAAATTTAAGCCTCGAATTGTAGATTCCATGGGCAATATGTCTCATGCAGAAGACATCAAAAGAAGATGGATAGAATACACAGAGGCACTATACCAAAAAAGATTTGGTCAATGTTCATCCATTTCAGGAAGTAGCATATGATCAAGAACCAATGGTACTGAAGGAAGAAATTGAAGCTGCACTAAAGGAATGGGTGAAAAGGCTCTGGGAACTGACGGAATACCCATTGAGATGTTTCAGCAAACAGATGTCGTGCTGGAGGCAGGCACTCCCTCAGCTATGCCTAGAGATTTGGAAGACAGCTACCTGGCCAACTAACTGGAAGAGATCCATATTGGTACCCATTCCAAAGAAAGGTGATCCCACAGAATGTGGAAATTATCAAACAATATCACATGCAAGTAAACTCTTACTGAAAATAATCCACAAAACGGTTGCAGCAGTATATTGACAGAGAATTTCCAGAAATGCAAGCTGGATTCAGAAGGGGATGTGAAGTAAGGGATATCATAGCTGATGTCAGATGAGTCTTGGTTCAAAGCAAAGAATACCAGAAAGATGTTTACTTGTGTTTCATAGACTATGCAAAGGCATTCGATTGTGTGGATCATAACAAACTGTGGATAACATTGAGAAGAATGAGAATTCTAGAACACTTAATTGTACTCATGAGGAACCTATACATAGACCAGGAGGCTGTTGTTAGAACAGAACAAGGGGATACTGCATGGTTTAAAATCAGGAAGGGAGTGTGTCAGGGTTGTATCTTTTCACCATATTTATTCAATCTATATGCTGAGCAAATAATCTGAGTAGCTGTTCTATATGAAGAAAAATGTGGCATCAGGATTGGAGGAAGGCTCATTGACTACCTGAGATACGTAGCTGACACAACTTTGCTTGCTGAAAGTGAGGATGACTTGGAGCACTTACTGATGAAGATTGAAGGCTACAGTCTGCAGTATGGATTAAACCTCAAAATAAAGAAAATAAAAATCCCCACAACTGGACCCATAAGCAGCATCATGATGAATGGAGAAAAGATCGAAGTTGTCAAAGACTTCATATTACTTGGTTCTACAATCAGTGCCAATGGAAGCAGCAGTCAAGACATCAAATGACATATTGCATTGGGCAGATCTGTTGCAAAAGACCTCTTTCAAGTGCTGAAGAGCTAAGATATCTCCTTGAAGACTAAGATGTACCTAAACCAAGCCATGGTATTTCCAATCACCTCATATGGATGTGAGAGCTGGACAATGAATAAGGAAGACCAAAGGAGGGTTGATGCTTTTGAGTTGTGGTATTGGTGATGAATGCTGAAAGTACCGTGGACTGCTAAAAGAACTAACAAATCTGTCCTGGAGTAAGTGCAGCTGGAATGCTCCTTGGAAGCGAGAATGGCCAGACTTCATCTCACCTACTGTGGTCATGTTGTCAGAAGGGACCATTCTTTGGAGAAGGATATCATGCATCGAAAAGTGGAGGGTCAGTGAAAGAGGGGAAGGCCCTCAACAATGTGGATTGACATGGTGACTACAGCAATGGGCTCAGGTATAGTAAGGATTGTGAGGCTACCCCAGGACCAGGGAGTGTTTCCTTCTGTTGTACATAAGGTCTCTATGAGTCAGAGACGACTGGACAGCACAAAGCAACACAAACAATATTTGAAATCTGGCTTCTTTTCCAATCCTTATTGGAAGAATCAGAGTCAAATGAATATGCAAGTAAGTTAGTTAAATAAAAGCAGAATCTGTATGGCAGTGATGTGTGATAATAGGTTTCTATTGAAAGTCAGTTTGCCTGAGGAAAACCTTAGTCTTTCTCCGCTACTTTTCTGCTTGTTCTTTCTTTTATCTTACTACAAAGATACAGTTAAAACTAGTTGGCATGGAGTTGATTTCCGTTTGTGGACACCCCTTTCTCTCAGTGTAGAGGTGCTCCAATTGCATTTTCATTCGCTGATTTTTGGAAGCAGGTCACCAGGCCTTTTCTACTCTTGTTAGAGAGATTTAAAAAAAATGGGCATTTGTTGCATAACACTTTTTGCTCTCTCTTACTATAAAATGGTACTGAGTCTTGCCTCATAAAAAGAAAAGTATGTGTTTTAGTATGTCTCATAGAAGCTGATCAAAGATTAGCTTTCAAAGAGATTGGGTGGTCATACCCGTTATCATTTTAAGCAGAGAATGTGGTTTATTCTAATTTTGATTTTGAAACTCTCTTAAGATAAGCAGTTTTAAGGGCTTAACTCAAGTAACAGAAGTAACTTGTTCTTTATCAGCATCTATCACAATTTCTCATTTGATGAGGTCAAAATATGTGATAATACTTATCACAAAGAGTACTATAGTTCATGCCATTTCTATAAAAATATGGAGAAGTAATTCTGATCTTATGGCTATAGTGCACTATACCAAAAGATGTGTTGTGACACAAAATAT